TTAGTTAAATTCCCATAAACATAGGAGGAAATTACCATAAATAGATCACCATTTTGCAAAAATTTTATATTGAGGTTTGTTGCAATTGCTGGGCATTGATATTACACTTTCCCTGTGGTTTATATAAAATAAGAATAGACAACAGTTATCTAACATAAGAAACAGAGATGTCTCCTAACCCCTCTAACTTTTTTCATGATAATTTATTAACATAGATGAAAGGGGAGAAAAAAGAAAAAGAAAAAGAAAGAGAGATAGAAGGGAGAAAGAAAGGAAGAGGAGAAAGGGGTATAGGTTTCCCCTATTTATTTGGCCAGTAATACTTTTGCAATGACTTGGTTCCTAAATGTGATGTGCATTTAAGGAAGACATCTTAATTAAATAATTTTTATAAATGTTAAGTGTGAACCCACTGAATCAAAGGACCTATATAATTAAGTCAAATTAGCCCCACCTGTCCCATTTCTTTATAGAACACATCATAACCCTCTCAAGCAGTTACAAAATATGTTTTTCATCCTAATATAAGTAACTTACTTAATTCTTATTTGCCTTTGAAATCATGAGACATCAACATATGTAAGTGTTTGAAATATATTAAAATAAATTAAATTTGTCTTATCATAATTTCTATATGCCCTCACATTAGAAACACACATAATCTGAGAAATTTTAATATTTAATAGTTACCATAATTATGTTAATTTAAAATATATATCTATATTTATCAATATTCTAAATTTACAAATTTTAGCAGGTTTGTTTTAATGAACTAAGAAAAATATAGCTACATTGAGAATTTATCAATCAAGAGCTAACATTCTTTTTCTTCTAAATGGGAGTAAAAAAATAACCAAAACAACTTTGGACCCTGCTACAACCTAATGACAATAAAGAAATAAACCTAAAGCTTCATGTTTTATAAAATTGTTTAAATTGTCACGATAAGTTTTAAGACAGCTATATTAGGGGTGATAAATAATGACATTTCTGTGACATGAGATTTTTCATAGCACACCAAGTAATCAACAGGGGCTAACAAATGATTGGACATGGTAGACATACAATTACAAGCTCTACTATAATGCCAATTCACAGTAGGAAAGTTAAGAAAACATGTTGTTCATAAATCTACATATGATACTGCCTTTTAAAATGACACCTGAACATGGCTTCTCTAAGCAGTTGTAAAAAAATAGGCTTTTGTTTTAAAGATTGTATTTATTTATTTGAGAGAGTGAGAAAGAGAGAGAGCAGAAGTGGAGGGGAGAGGCAGAGGAAGAGGGAGAAGCAGATTTCCTGCTGAGCAGGGAGCCTGACGCAGGGCTGGATCTCTGGACCCTGGGATCATGACCTGAGCCGAAGGCGGGATCATGACCTGAGCCGAAGGCGGGATCATGACCTGAGCCGAAGGCAGATGCTTAACCAACTGAGCCACCCAGGCGCCCCAAAGTGACTTATTTTTAACGCAAGTTCCAATTCACAAAGAATGGGTTCATGGAAAACATTCTGATAATATAGACAATATCTGTTTTCCAAAGTAATGATTTATGCTTGTTTAAGGTGTATACATTGTAGGTCATTCTCAGAAAGTCTAATTCAGCAGGTGCAGGAAGGGCCCAGAAAACTGTACTCCATGATGCAATTGTTCTGCTGCAAAAAATTTACAAAACTTTATCCACAGCAGACACTGTTTCCATCTTCATATGCTATGTTATTTGGGCATTGTGCAAATCAGGTCAATAAATTGACTGCATTTAAAATTTTTCATTGACTATAGAACTGTTAAAATAAAATTTTGCTTGTACCAAAAATACATCTGATAGTCAATTATCTCATCTCCATTACAAAAATTATTTCCAAAGTTACCCTCAACATATTAATTAACAGAGAAGAGTAATCAAACATATTACAATATTTATAATAGAATATTCTCCCCCTCAATACATTCAACATTTTCCTTGACATTTTGCAACCAAGAGTTAACATGCAAACATGGGAATTTTATGTCCTTTAAAGATTCACAAGAATGAAACCATAAAGAGTACTTGTCCCTGGGGCACCTTGGTGGCTCAGTCGGTTAAGTGTCCACTTTGCGCTCAGGTCATGATCCTGGGGTCCTGGGTTTGAGCCCCATGTTGGGCTCCCTGCTCAGTGGAGAGACTGCTTCTCCCTCTCCCTCTGCCAACCACCCCCCCGCCTCATGTTCTCTCTCTGATAAATAAATAAAATCTTTTAAAAAAAATACCCGTCTCTCACACTGATTATGCCAATGGTGACTCCTGATCTTCTTCCAGTGTTAGAAAGCAATGAACTAGCCTGTATGCACTTGTCAGTTTATAAGCCTGTTTGCAGGAAGATGCTGAAAGCTTAATTTATTTCTGGTGTAATTTGAGAGCTACCTCAATGATTTCACCTATTTGAAATGCACCAACTCTTCCAATTTTGAGCACAACCAGATGGGAAAAATGCTGAAGCAAACCTGGTTTGAATATGTAAACCACATGACAGGTTTGATTATAGTTGTTGAAGAGTCAAACAAGGTAATAGCTTATATTTTTTAACCCAATTATTTGCCATAACTCTAATGTTCATTTTCAGTGAACATCAATCTAAAATCTTTATGTGATAATTTATGAAAGAGAATAATAGGTTATTTTGTTAGTTTGGTCTAGATATACAATACTTAAGCCTGAAAAATAAAGAATGGGACAGAAAGCTGAAGAGTTAAACAAAACATTTATATCACAGAGTTCCTGTGTTCTCTCCATAGGACAGGGAGTCAAGTCTTTGTTTTCTGAGCTGGCAATTGTTAAAAATCACCTCAGAAATAAAGCCACCCAGCTGCTTTATAAGACCTCAGGAATTGGAAAGTCAATCACCTCTCATGGTAATCTCCTCCTTTCAGCTTTAGGTTAAAAAGTCCTTATTTATTCCTAGTAAAACTCTGGCCAAGATTTAGGTTCATTTTCTCTGGCTCCACAAAAATTTTGAATAGCTAGTCAGTCTCCTATTTAAAATAACTCTTCACACATTGGGATAAATTTTGTCCCCACTTGTCAGTAGCTGTGGGACATTGGGAAATAATAAAGATATACATTCCTACAGCAGAAAAAATGTTAAATATGATTTTATTGTACCTCTTTGTCTTTAATAAATTTTGGTTTATGTTGATTTAGTTCATTCTCAAAACAATCTAATGTGGATACTTTAATCACCACGGGCTAGTGTGTTATGTATCAAATGATAGAGAAAGACGTGATAGAACAAACAAGAAAAACAAAAAAAATCTACCTGCCTACAGCTCAGTAGTTATAAAGATAAACTGAGATAATAAACATGAAATACTTTTACAAGTAATAAAGCACTGCTCAAGGGCAAGGTTGTAACATATGTAATAATATACCTACTCCTTTGTTCTTATTCTACTGCAATATGTTTACCCATCCTATAGGACCTACTTCCATTTTATTTATAATTTTTCTCTCTGAATCATGGGTATTTTAAAAATATATTAAAGAAACTAAGAAAAACAAAATTAATTATAATAATTCACCAAGTATTTCATGCTAAGAACAACATAATCACACTCAGCTCTTATATGTTAATCCCTGACATTTATTTCTCAATATCCTATTTCTTCTTTTTTTAAGTGAAACAAGATTATTAACTTTTATAAGTCTTAGGTTCACTAAGATTTTATTTTTCTGCAATGTAGTTTCCCTCAAGTATTTCTCATCCTTCTTGATAAAGTTTACTTTCATGTCCCACATTCTCCTTTTACCTTCCACCAATGACTTTTACCCAGTGCTTAATAAAGCATTTCTCTAGTTTAAGGCAGTTTACATCTTAGCCAATATTCCTATGCCTATCACTGCAGACCCATAATAGGAACCCAGTAAGTCTCTGGCAAATACATGAATGAATACATTTTAAAAATTATCTTTCAAGATTTTAACAAATCAACGGAACCTGTGTTGATGAGTCAACACTTGAGCACCCATTTTTTTTCACCTTCCAATAAAGTCCCAGGTATAATCTTTTCATCAAATGTGCTGGATGCTGACTAGCTCTTTGTTGGAAAACGGACAAAGTGTGTTCCATGTGCTTTATGTATATTAACTAATTCTTTCCTACAACATTACGAATTTGTGAGGAAATTGAGCTAGAGTGTGAAGCAATTTGTTCAACAAGATTCAAGAGCTAATAAGCAGCAGAATCAAAATGTACACCCAGGCACACCAAACCCACACTTTTTAAGGTTTTTGTTAATGAGAAAATTACTTTTAAAACTCTTTATTTTAATAGCGTTATTTGAAAGTAAAAATTTACATTAATTGCCACTGAAAGTTTCTCAAAACCAGTTCAAATTCTAATTTATTAATGTGATTGTTCGCACACAATCATGCAAAAGACAGTCCATTCCCACGCTCTCTCTTTGCTCTTTCATTTAGCAATTCCTCTTTAATATGCTTGCAGTTATTCTGAGGTCTCTATTACTAAACACAGGCTAACTTAAGTCGCAATCTTGCTAATGTTTTGACATTTTCTACAAAAATACTTTCCTAAAAACACCTACCTGAAATTACCAATTAACATTCTTGACTTGAAACAGAGTAAGAGAGAGATTCTTTTACTTAGCTTTGGAATCACAAAACACTTTTAACAATTTAGACCATAAATTTTTATATGAAGAATCTAATATTTCTCAGAATTTCTTTGAACAGGATATAGGCATGATTGTGACATTTATGAATATACTATTTTAAGGAACTATAATTTTGTATGCTATATAAACAAACATTACATGGGAACATATTGCAATTAAACTTTACAGTGTACATTTACCAATAACTTTTCAGATATCATAGACTTCTCTGGGGAAAAAAAAGATGCCTTGTTCCTACATATACTATAGAAATCATTTGGTCTATAAGAAACTTAACCTTTTTAAGCATTAGCTATGGATAACAGACATAACACATAAAACAGCTCCATACCTGTTTTATTGGAAAGTCTAAATGACACCATCTTATCAGGAATATTACATACATTCCTCACTGAAGCAATGCAGCTATAATTAGCATAGTCCTGAGGTCGAAGATTCTTTAGTTTTAAGATCTTGGTTTCACCCTAAAAATGTAGAAAAGGTCATTAGAAAAAGTCAATGGTAACCAAAATGAATGAATGAAATGAATGAATGAATCATGGCATTACATTGTATAAACTATATTATTATCAAAATGCGGCAGGTTGTCTTTTTTTTTTTTAAGGAAATGCCCTAAAAAAAAACAAAAACAAAAACAAAAACAAAAACAAAAAACCATGCATTTAAAAATAACACTGTGATGTACCTGGGGATAAAAGCTGAGACTGAAATGAAAATTCATAACATTTTCTTTGCAAACTAGCTTTCTAGGGGGAGAAATCTATTTCTGGGGGTAGTTATGCAAATTATTGTGCAAAGATAACAGTGTACTTAATAATGGAGTTTATTCAACAAATACTGCAATCTATGCAGACTTCACCATGAAATGTTTTGAAAGGAATGGATTCTGAAGAAAAGCCAATAAATGAAACACTGTTGGTAGAACAGTTATTGAAGTCAATCTAATGACAGGCAATTAAATTTATATACATTAATATTTTGTGTATACATATCAATGGCAGATGACAGATGTAAAATGCCTTAAAGAAGCATTCATGAATGTTTCTAAAGCATTATTGTGTTTGCAATTTTATTTTTCAGGAGCTCAAGGTCTAGATCTTCCAGGTAAATCTGTAAAACTGTAAATAGACTCAAATCAGGCAAGTAGACAGAAATATCTTACAAATTCTTGATGAGCCAAGAAAGACCACGTAAAAAACATTGAAATTGTTCAAAGGGTAAAAGAACAAACAAAGAAACAAACAACAATAAAAATTAAAGAAAGAAAACCTGCTCAATTTAAAATAGGTTTTTTGAGATTTTGTTACTTTCTAAGGTCATTAATGCACCATCTCAAAATAGTTCCTTTCATAAGTAACTCAATTATGGAAATGGTAAACAGTATCCCAGTGAAATCATATTTGTTATAGCAATTTTCAAAATGTTATTTTTTTTTCCAAATAACATCTATATGTAACCATGTGTAACATCTCTCAAATCCTAAAAATTGCAGTACTTTCATACACTCTTCAGAAGGATTGGAATACTTAGTAACAAGACATAAAGGCACTGCTTGCTCATTTGCAAAAAAGCTTGCTCACACATAGGTGTGGACACCTAGTTTTTCAAATGTGTCAAATGAATCTCTCCTTCAGGATGCAAGGGCACTGTGGCCGTAATTTCATTCATTCACTGTCAAAATTTGGTCTTAAGTCAGTTACTTTCCCCAGTGGACTAAGGAACAATCTCCTATCTTTCAATTTTTCTTTAGGAAAGACACTGTATTTTTTCTACATAAACAAAAGCAAATACATCCCACATGAATATACATAGTCAATGTGTGTGTTTCTAGAACTTATATTTAAAACATGCTCTCAGTGCATTACAGAGTTCTCATTTATATTTACTAAATACAATGCCTAGAAATGTGTGCTTAGTTAGAAAGCATGGTTGAAAGAAAATATTATACTAGAACGAGTTGACTCAGATAATTTTTGAATGAGATGATATATCATACTCCTTCTACCTCGTGACTATTATTGCTTAGATTTCTTCACTTTTCTTTCTCTTCTCAACACTTAACTCTTGGTATCCCTGGAACTGTTTGTCCCACAATTAATTTTGAGTTATAAAATTCCCCTAGGTGATCTTGTCCTTGCTACTACAAGCCTTATCTTCCTGCCCCCCTCCTCAAGTCTACATCTCTATTCTCCCTTAAGTTTCATATACATAGACCAAATTTTTACCTCAATATGTCTATTTTGATGTCTCACAGACACCTAAAAATCAACTAACATATTCTAAACTGAACTTCAGATCTATTCCTCTAAATTTATTCTTCCTTCTTTAATAACAAGAATCTTAGACTTTCAATTACTTCTTATTCATATATTCAGTATCTCCCTCTCAGATCCTTTTATTAATTTTGAAATATGTTCATTCTTGACCATTCTTTTTATTTATTTTTTAATGTAATGCTCTACACCCTATAGTCTGCTAAGAAATTCCTGATTATGCTTAGTATAGTTTAAGAACACAAGCAAGCAGGGCGCCTGGGTGTCTCAGTTGGTTAAGTGTCTGACTCTTTGTTTCAGCTCGGTCATGATCTCAGGGTCTAGAGATCAAGCCCTGCATGGGGTTCCACTGGACATGGAGCCTACTTAAGATTCTCTCTCTCCCACTCCCTCTGCACCTCCTCCTCCCCCCCTCAAATAAATAAAATCTTTAAAAAAAAAAACACATGCAAGCATAATGACCTGCAACCAGAATTTTTTTTTTTAATATGAAAATCTGATCATGACATTTCTCTGCTTAAATCACATCGATGACTTAACTATTGTTCTTAAAGTGAACACAATAGCTATTAACATGATGGTCAACCCCATATGGTCCATTCTCCTTTCCTCCCCAGTTTCATCTCATTCTCTTAGTGCCTTACATCCAGCTTCCTTCTATCACAGAAACTTAGCACATGCTTGGCTCTTCATCTCTCTATGCCTTATCAATTTCATCTCATTCTTAGATCCCAATACCCCTTACTTCCACAGGTAAGCCTTGCCTCACCTTCTGGAAGAGGAGAAATCCCTTTTTGTGAAGTGTGCTTTTATTTCTTCATAATACATTCTCATTTTCCCATTTATTTCTGGAATGGATTTATTTTCTGCCAGACTCATCCCCTTGCCAGTAAGTACCTAGGGGGCAGTGATTACATCTGTCCTGCTCTCAGTGTTATGTTCCAAGCACCTAGCATAGGACTTAGCATAGGAGAGACACTTTGTAAATGAACATTTTTTCAATTAAAACTGCTACAACTACCTATATTTCACCATTCAAGGCTTTGTTTTGCACATATTTATTTCTCCAGCATTATTATCTGCTTGGCGCCCAATATGAATTCAATAGATGTTAATGTATGTATAGTCAATATTCTAAAAGCAATCATACAGTAATAATGATTCTCAAATACATACAAAGGAGAAACAGTGTCATTTAGATGTACATTTAGTGATAAAGTCTCTTATTCACAGAATTAATTATATTCTGCCAGTACCTGTTTCTGTTTCCACTGACAAATTATTTTTAATCCATATTTTAAAAATATTTCAACACTCCACTGAAACTATACCTATTAATGTCAGTAATGATGCTCTTTTGTTACAATTCAATAAATCTTTCTTTTTTATGCTTCTATACTTCTCTGTTTATTTCTAACATTTTAGATTACCTTTGCTACTTTGACTGCCCATATGTGTAGGTAATTATTATATCATAAGTTAGTCACTTCTTGGTTGTTTTCCATTTCATTTTCTATCTATTGTGCAAATTTTAGTCTGCAATCTTCTACTAATATATTCCCAGTGGAATCTGATCCATTACCATAGTTTTAATTAACATCAATGTATAGGTTCCTGACAAATCTCTAAGCAAAACAACAGAAAAAACACACCTGAAAAAAATCGCCAATAGTATTATAATTAATAAAATCGAACGTCTCCAATTTTTGCCTGTCCTTTTAACTGCAATATTTGTTAGCAGTTATGATCTTGCACTTGTATTTTCCTCCACTCTGGATCTCTTAAGATAATCTATCCTGGTTTTCTAATTCTTTTTGATCGTTCTTTTTTATGTATTTATTTAGATCACTGACTTTTATTTTTCCTGCATTACCCACCCCCCTTCAAAAAGAAACCACCTCATACTTTGCCAATGAACAAGTCAGACTTGCCTCTCTTATTTTTTTTTTAAAGATTTTATTCATTTATTTGACAGACAGAGGGAGAGAGGTAGAAAGCAAGAGAGAGAGCACCAGCAGAGGGAGAGGCAGGCAGAGGGAGAGGGAGAAGCTTGCTCCCTGCTGAGCAGAGAGCCCAACGCAGGGCTCCATCCCAGGACACTGGGACCATGACCTGAACAGAAGGCAGATGCTTAACTGACTGAGCCACCCAGGTGCCCCAACCTCTTCTATTTCTAGATTGTATTTTTTTCCTGTTGGATGTCCCTGGCCTCTCTGCACATGTCCTCTCCTCTCCCTATTACACCTCTGACTTCCTGCCTCATCTCATGTTCTTTGATAACTGCTTGACAGAGATTTTCATCAGTAGGGCATACAATGTCATATTAAACTCCGTGAGTTCACTATTACACTCCATTAGACTAGCTGCACTACCTATATTCTCTTCTGATGTTCTTTTTAATGCAAAGCATCGTCATTTTCCCATAATCCAGACTCAGAAGTCATGGCATCATTCATTTTTTACCATTTCTCATTACCCCACATTCAATGACATCAAGAACTTTAGATTATTCTTTAATTTTCTTTTCACGAAATGACCTTTCCTTTCCAATCCTATAGGCATAATATTTGTCTTAGACCCTTTTCACTGATTTAACAAACATTGCTTGAGTGCTCATTTTGGCTAAGGTAATGTACTGTCTACTATGGAGAACTGCAGCTCTCCTTTATTCTTTTTTTTTTTAAGATTTTATTTATTTATTTGAGAGAGAGAGAGAATGAGAGAGAGCACATGAGAGGGGGGAGGGTCAGAGGGAGAAGCAGACTCCTTGCCGAGCAGGGAGCCGCATGCGGGACTCGATCCCGGGACTCCAGGATCACGACCCGAGCCGAAGGCAGTCGCTTAACCAACTGAGCCACCCAGGCGCCCTCTCCTTTATTCTAATCATTCTATAGCTGCCACCAGACATACCATCATCATGCCAGGTCCATGCTAGAAAACTCTACCCATCTCTCCTCTGAAACACCATTTCAAAAACTTCAGTTTGTCGTTTGTCAGTAAAGATTGCTGACTAGAAAAAAATAGAGCCAACGCATTGTCTTGCACATAAGCTTTCAGTAAACATTGTTTAACCATATTGACTCAAATAGTAATAGGAATAAAAAAATTTTAACATTAGGGGAGGCTGAAAGGTAGATTTATAAAGCTGAGTTAGGAGCCATCCACAGAATTATAGTCAGTTATGAATTAGA